ATGAGACAGAGACAAAGGCCCTGCATAAAAACAGGCCGGTGCATTTTTATGTGATATTTGGGGGCCAATTGGATTACGACCTGACAACAGATTTGCCTTTTCTTCCCACCACCAAAAGAGCACCTCAAAAAGCCTCTGAGTTCTGCTTCATTTGACCCTGTGCAAAGCATATGTCCGTCCGTCTTGCTTGTATTCTGTCTAGAAGATGGACTGCTGCAAGGGTCAAAGAAAGCATCCCTGCCCACTTGAGTGTGCTACAAAGCCTTCAAACAAAATCACTTGACAGGGGTCTTTCCTTTTAGGGACGGACTCTATTTCTCCCAAACCTTTTGTCACTTCAAACAAGTTACTCTGATGTTTTAGACACATTTTTCTAATGTTTTACACTCCATATAATCTGCTGTGAGTAGCAAAGCCTATTTTGCTGGCTGAAGTTATTGATGGTGCCCGAGACCTCGCAAAGGTCAGCTCAGCAGAAAGGCTTTGGTTTCGGTCACCATAGAGATTGAAAGAACACATCAACACACCCACACTCACCTTCACACACACAAGTATACAAATGTCGCTCACGAAAGTTGGATAGATTTTTATTTTTTTTTATTATTAAATTAATGAAAGAAAATCTAAATCTAATTAGAATATATTTTTTGGGGGGATTGATCTAGTTTTTCCTATATATTGCTTTTAAAAAGCTATGGCTCAGTAGTTATGACAGGGTGGGATGACAAATTCAGAGGGAGCTGTATAATTTGTCAACCTTTTCATTACTAAAAGATTTCTGAAATAATTTTGTTCATCAGCAATCATGTGACAGTAGGCGTGCAGCAGCAAAATAATATTCACACAAACCCACACATTGTTTATTTTTAATTTACTTTTAGTGTGGTGTCACAGAAAAGTGTAATTTTTTTTCTTCTTCTGGGATAATAAATTTTAGCACCGGTAAAGAATTCCCTCTTCTCAAGTGCAAAGTAACTCTGCTGCGGAAAGCAGCAAACACACACTGATCCCTTGTTCAGACTGGAAATGGCCTTGACAGGATCACAACTCCCTTGTTGTTTATATCAGTGAGCAGAAGCTATCCATTTCAGAGCAAGGTGCCTGATGCCTTTTTCCACCTGCGGTCAAAGTGATATTGGTTTCTCGTATTAAAGGGTAGAGGAAGCTGCCGGCAGCTGTGAGTCTGCCAAACTCCCACTCCCAAGGCCAATGAAATCAGGTGTCAATGCAGCTGAGCCAAAACAACGGCAAAAGTTTTCTATTTCAATGGACTTGTGGGTCAACAAGATGAGGCCAGATTATGAAGGAATGTTGATTCATGGCAGAACTGACAACATGGATGCTCATTTAAAAACAAAATAAATCACATGCCCTGGCTGAAGTCAAGAAAGCCCTTTCTCTGTTGACGTAGAATAGGTTTTACACTCAGGTTCTACACCTAATATTAAGTATAAACCTATGAGTGAAATGATTTACCAGTAATAAACCAGCAGAACTCCAAATCATTGGCTCATTGAACAAAATAGATTACAATTATCACATAATTACCAACAATATCATGTTTTTTATTCTTTAGTTATTCAAGTTCAAGGTTCCTTATTGTTATTCGCATCACATGTACATGAGGTGGAATTAAATTGTGTACACAGGGTCCTAGTTACATCCAACAATAGCAAAAATATAAATTGTTAAAAAAAAACTACTAAGGATCTAAGATATAAACTAAGAAATACACTAACCTAATAAATACACTAAACACTTAATAGTGCAAAACAATATGCCAATTCATGCATGGCTACTACACAGAAGACACGATTGACAGGATTTTTGAGTAATTACTGTTGTAGATGTTTTAGATTGTCACTATAATTCAGAGTTGCCTGTTTTTGCTTAGCAGTCATACACAAAATAATGGTTTTCTAGTTAGGACCATGTCCACCTCCATATTAGCACAATGACACATTGGTGACTATAAGGACAGGGAAATTTTCAGGCATGTTGCTGGGCTGTTAGACACTAAAGTGTCAAAGAGACAGGCATAAAAATTGCTAGTCTGACAGACAAAAGGTGCTGTTTGCAGGGTAGGCACCACTATGGTAAATTAACCCCAGTCACCAGCCAACATTCAGAGATATTCTGTGTTTGTTTTCCCCATTTCTCTGTAGGTAGGTATGTCACTTGCATGGTCTATTCTGGTATAGAAATTCCCCTGTCTCTTTTAAACTAGTTCATAAGGGAGGTCAGGTTGGAGATTTGGGAGCATTTGTGGCCTGCAGATGTAGGAAGTGCTCCTCTAACTGAACCATTGTACTTAAGAGTACTTTGGGTCCCCTTAAAGTCCTAGTCTAACGTCAGCTTTGGTTTTTCATGGAGTGTTAATAGTTTTTCAGAGTATATGGTGGTCAGTTAGTCCTTGAGTTTTATAGAGTGTAAACTTTCAATTGGGCTTGCATCTTTTTTTGCCGAACTGCCTTTAAAACTAGTCATTTCTTATGTAACTAGAGGCATTTATCGTGTGAAGTTTTACATCATGTTGCACTGTGTGCAACAACAACCTTCCCATTGTGTTATTCTGCGTGCAAGAGTGGCATGTTGTTATTGAATAGAAATGTGATAGAATAGACAGATGCTTGTTGGTGTTAAGATACAGTCCTGGCTCTAGGTGTTAGTGAGCTGCCCCAGGCTGCCCCCCAGCCAGTCTTCGCCTGGAACACTATCATCACTCCAGCTCTCTACCAACAGTAATACTACCTTAGCTAGGCTGCGTGTTTGTTTACCTTTCCGGCCTTTGCTCATAGACGAAAATGTTTATGCCTAACTTGTAGTAAAATAGACTGTGCTGAATTTAAGGTTGGGAGTGTTGGGTATGGAGGTACCTCATGTCCCCCGATTCACCTCGAAATGTGGCCAGGGTCAGAGGGACATCTGTGGTCAGCATCAGGTTGATAGAGTTGGACTGTGAGGACAGCTACTGTCATCAAGGGGTAAATAGAAGTAAAGAAAAGGGGGTGATTTGTGCTAACACAGGCTCAGAGATAAAGGACTGTGTTTGGGCCAAGGCAGAGCTTGACCAGTAAACAACCAGTGAGGTGCCTAAATGGCCCGAGGATCAGCCTGGGGCTAAACCAGAAGGTCTCTCTCACCACTGGCTCTTCTAAACATGAGATCATAAGTGCACACATACTGACCCACAACACACATTTTAGCGATAAGATGCCGCCTTGGATAAAAGGAAACCCACATCATTAAAAGCACATCCATGCTGGTATAAGTCTGCAGATAGCAATCAGGAAATAAGTACGTACAGTCCCTAAAAGAAGAACTTGTTTTTGATGTTCTTAATGAAATAGGCTTTTCAACTTTAAATATGTTAGAATCTGTTTTTGACATGTCATCATCATTAGGTTGGGACATAAAAAAATGAAAACTGGTTGGTTTAAATTCAATTCCAGATATTTTAGGAAAGTTTCTAATAATATTGGGGCTTTATTTGTAGCTTCCCTCTGTTGTTCTGTTTGCAAGCCAACTTTGAGCTCAACCAAAGCAAGCTCGAAATCACTCTGGAACTGGTTTTAGATCAACTGTGACTCAACGTGGCTCTTCAGTGTTGCGCTCGAAACACCAATAGTGCACTACAAAGCCACCGTGCACAATGCGATGTCTACCAGTTGAGAATGTGATACAGTCTGAATCCACTTTCTGGTACTTTCTTAGCATGCCACTCATCCCAGGAGGACAGAGTTTGATCCAAACTGAAAGGCACAGTTTCCAGAGGGAGTACAGCCGGCCCTGCCTTATCCTGGTCACCATAATCTTTGGTGTCTCCTCCGAGTCAGGTGTAATCAGTCACACACTGCTACATGTTTTGACACCTGTCCTGTGCAGTGCAGAGGAAGTAAGCAGGTTTGTCTCTCCTTTGGAAACAGACACACAGACAATCAAAGCTATCGTCACATGAATTAGGACAGACAGGTGGATTGTCAGAAAAGGGATTAAAAAGAGGGATAGCGGAAAGAAATGAAGGTTCTTTTATAATGTAGTTTTTTTTTCCTTTCAAAAGGTTGGATGACTGGGGAGGCGAGTCACTGTTAATGGGAAGAAATGAACGCGCTTGAGTGGTGGATGTGACAGGAAGAGACTGTTCTTAACAAGGCGTCAGAGTCAGTCACAGTTGCAGATCCATCACTTCTCAGAGGCTCAGCAAAGGGGGAGAGTGGGGGGTGGGGGGCATTTAAGAAAATTCAGAGAGAGAGGAAGTGTGTGACGGGTAAAGGGGAAGAGGGAGACGGTGAGAGGAAAGAGGGATTTGAGTGCGGCTGACAGCACTGCATTTAATTTGGGCTGCCAGATCCTTTTTCGTTTGACTCTCGCTCAACCAGCTTAGAGGCTGCGGAGAACTTCGAGGCGAAGGTTTGCCGGGATGTCTCTGATTAGCAGTGATGTGCCACGTCACACTTTAAGCTGGCCTGTAATTCATGTTCAACAGGGGGATACTTACACATTACACTGTGCGGTGCAGGACGTGATTAATTGACTCACACTCTAATATTGGGTGTAATTTGCCCATCCTCTGATGTGAAACTGACTTTATACTAGACTTACTGTATGCTGCAATCCTGGGGATGTTATAATTGAGTCGGCTCAGAGCCGTGTAATTTTTTTTTTTTTTACAGAGAATAGAAACTCAAGGGTTGTAGGGAGAGCTTCAGACTGTCTCTGAACTTAATTTCACACTCGAACGTTTAGGAATAAAATTAAGCTTACCAAGTTTATATATATATATATATATATATATATATATATATATATATATATGTCTTTTTTAAATTGGTCTGAGGTGTTTCTTTTTTTATTGTGAAGGACTGAAACACATAAGATGAGGCAAATTTATTATTTTTTTGTAGTTATTTTTTCTCTGTAATTAAGACAAAGTATATAAATTATACGTCCATTCATTCCTACTTTATGGATGCATTTACCTTCTTTGTTCCAATTTGCAGACTATGCTCTTCCTGGCTGTGGTGGAGGAGGAGGGCCAAGCAGAAGAAGGAAGGAGGGAGATGGCAGAAACCCTGCTGGCTGCTTTGACAGACAGACACCAGCAGAGACAAACATGGAGGGACAGGTAACATGTACTCTTTGACTGATGGTTTAGACATTTAAAAAATATGGAAGATGAACTCTGTCTTGCATGTAAAACAATCAGACACAAATGTAAATCAACTTTAATACATAAGAGATGATCACGTTTGATTGCTTTGCTCTTTTACAACAAGATACAATATATTCATTGTATGTTTGAATGAATTTGCATACATTTATGGTTTATAATGTTTCCTCGTGTTAGTCTTACTTTTTTCATGTGACAATGGTGCTTTATTTTATTGCATTTAGGCTTTTTAGGCACAACACCAATAGACCCCAAAGAAACCTGATAAAATATTAAGGCTGTGAATGTGAAATGTGAATGGGTTTTTAAAAGTTTTTGAGTCCTATACAATTCCCACTGCTATTAAGATTTAAAAAAAAAAAATCTAACCCTTTTATTGGCCCAATAGATTTTAATGTGTACAAAAACAAATTGTTAAACTCATCAAACGTAAAAAAACAAACAAACCAGACAGTAGTTTATCTTAACCTATATTAGAAATCTCTGCTGTGTACTTTATTTCAGGGGTTCCCAACCCTGGTCCTTGAGGAACTCCATCCTGCATGTTTTACTTGTTTCCCTGCTTTAACACACCTGGTTTTAATTCATGGGTGATTAACATGCTTCTGCATAACATGATGATGTAAATAAAGAACTGAATCAGGTGTGTTGGAGCAGGGAAACAACTAAAACATGTAGGATGGTGTTCCTCAAGGACCAGGGTTAGGAACCACTACTTTATTTTAATAATACCAAACGTTTATTACTGCAAGGCTTGCAACAGTTACGGCACATGCATGCTCTTCATAAATCAGTAAGATGTGTACATGTTTGATGTAGCTTACAAACAACATATGTTGTTGGCTAAATTTGACAACACACAACAAAATACTCAAAGGAAATTTTGTTCCTAAATTTGATTTCGTAATTGAGAGTCACCACAGGTAAATAGTCACTAATAAACATTACAACCTAATTATTACAACTAAAGTTTGATTAACTTTTTCAGCTTCTTCAGACCTTAAAAAAATAGGAAACAGCCAAACTTGTATGCACATGTTCTATGGATTGCCATATCAACACACACTCAGATGTTTATATCGAATGTGATACATACTTAAAGGAGTTCATATGACTTCCTTCCTTAAACCGTGTGAAGTGGTAGACTTTTATCACTTTGAACATGTAATCTAAAATACATGAAAAAAACATTATTTGATCATGATTCCTTCTGAAGACCTGGTGTGGATTCCACAGAAATGCAATGCTGTGACCGATTTGTGTTTTGTGGTTCTGTGTGTCTGGCAGCTATCACTGCGACACGTGTGTCTTGGATAAACTCGCTCACTTCCTTCCCTTCAGATAAGAACAGAGAGCTCTGGGATTAGAGCTTTGGCCCTTTATTCAGATAAAGAAGGGCCTTGTACATACCCCATAGTATTAATTTAGCTGTTTATATTCTCTGTCACCCTCTTCCTCAATGCCAGCAAGAACACACAAACACTGCCCTACATGTTTTCACTAGCATTGCATGAACACGTTTCACAGCTTTTTGTCTCTTTCAATGTATTTGACCCCAGCGTTGCCCACAAACACATTTTGAAATGAACAAATTGACTAGCCAATCCTGAAAATAACACCTATTATCTAGAAAAACAACACAAAAAAGGTCTGTTAACTTCCTGGTGTGTTTCATGACGCCCTCATGACGCCCCTTTGTGTTGAGTTTTCCCCTCTGGTTGACCCTTTGCTCTGTCCCATCCAGATGAGCCTTGTAAACAGACTGTTTCTACACACCTTACTCTACTGTGTCGACGCCCAAAGCCTCACAGCTCTCATGTGGGTCCTGCTCTTATAGCGCATACCAGCTGCATGTGCTGAAAGCTAGAAACCATCTCACCATCATCACTGTCCCCCGCCACCCACAATGCAGTGTTACCACCTACTAACTTTGTGGGCTTTGCTCCTGACAAGTATCAGACCAGGACAGGAAATGCTCAGTCCTTGTTGTCAGGACAGACAGACATTTACTTTATCAGCTGTGGAAGACTGATGAGATTAGCTTTTTTTTTGGAGGGTAAACCTCCTGAATAATATGTTTGAACTCCGACTGCTCCTGATACCTTCTCCTCCCTTGAAACACGTCTATCCCTAATCTTTACCATTCTCACATACAAAAAAAGCCAGAGGTCATCCTGTCAAGTGGTTGTCAACAGATAGCACTTGTTTAAAACTAAACACATGGCTATATGCAATGTTAAGTGGAACGTGCTGGTGCTGATTGGGCTTTTTTTTTTTGCTGACAATGGTCAAGGATCGTTTTAGTAGTTCTTTGAATTGGTAGGGACATGTACTGTATGTTTTTTTGTACAGTCCACTGGGTGACAGTTTAATATTCTTGAATAAGACATAAAGTGAGGGTTCAATTAATTTCAGTAAAATGCATTCATAAAATTCATTTTTATCATATTATGACTTGAATTGTTAATTTCCGACTTAGTTTGTTGGGTTTTCATGTTTGTCGTCCTAACTAGATTTGACTATTCAAAACGGAAGTTTTTATCATTTATTGAACATTGCATGCAGTATTTTTGAAATAATTTGAAAAAAAAGTCAAAAACAAAAACAAAACAAAAAAAACAGAGAAAAAGTCTGATTGATGAGTCTTACTAGCGGTCCATAAATACAAACAGCTAGCACTGACTGATTGAGTTTGCGGGCATTTGTTTCTTTAACACCAGTTAAAGCAGTACTCTACACTCTGAAACTTGGACCTACTTGCTGCTTTTTTTCTTTCTCCAATGCATTTTTTAGGACAAGCAAGAAGGAAAGAAAGAGAAATTGGAGCTGGTGACCAGCAGTTTTTCTCAAGTGACTTATAGGCACTCAGAGTGAGTGATGCTTCTGCTCACCGTGCGAGCAGAAGCAGTCCATTCATTCACTCCCAGCCAACAAAGTTATGAGAGCTTTTTTATTCTTATGAGCTTTTCTGGTAACTGGATTTTCCCAATGCACGTGGTGAATTCTTTGATAGATGCTGCCCTCTGTGTCCCTTCGGTAAATGTCCCTCGAGTACCCTGGAAATGGATGGATTATTATGTTGGTGGGTGACTATACCGCAGTGAAGCGGCTCGGTGTGCCACACAGGAAGTGCAGATTGAAGAGCAAGACACAACCTCCAGGGAACAGGCCTATTAGGATAGGAAATGGCATGTCCCAGTGGCATCAGGGATGTTTTTGGTTTTAAAAATTCATAGATCACAGTTCACATTTATCCAATTACAGGTAATGAAGGATTCATGGTGGGAGAGCATGCACAGAAAAGCCTCCAATTATTCTGTCTTAAATGTGCATGGCCGCAATGTGGCTACATTTAATCCACTGTGAAGGAGATACCCTTATACTGACCCATCAGATCCTAGAAGTCATCCTCCAACATAAACTAAATAAATAAATTAAACAGCTTTGTCACAGTATGCAAGCAAACATTGAAGGGAACAGCTGCGGGTTTTGTACTGACCATGCAAACTGCTGTAGGCTTTGTAAGGTCATTATATGATAATGAAAATCATTACAGAATTACATGGGGGTTTAGGACATGAGAGCAGCAGGGAGGGGAGAGGAGGGCCACATTGGGTTTGATAAATGGACTGTGAAGGTGCCCATCTGGCCTTCTCGATGGCTTTTTCTTCCTGCTCTTTTATCCACTCTTGTCGTTTACTACCCCTCTTTCTTTTCCCTCATCTGTTCTCCAGTGGGCCAGTGTAAGAGTGAGCAGGCCTGTAGTGAAAGATTAACAGAGTGCAAACCCAACTGTCCTCTGTGGGAAAGAAAGAAAAGGGGGATAGGCAAAGGTGTTTATGACCTTAAGCATGGCTTGGCCTGACTTGGCCAACCCTGCCCTCCATTTCTAAGTTTTGAAACGTAGGAGAGAAGACAGCCGTTGACCTTTGGCATCAAAACACAGTTGGAAAACCCAAGACGTGTCTGCTAGTTTAGATAAAAAAAATGTGTTATTTTAAGCCATCAAATAATAATAATAATTATTATAATAATAATAATAATAATAATAGTAGAACAATGGGAACCAAATGTGTTTGCTCTTGGTCCCATTTAGGATCATTTACTGTTTACTCAAACTCAAATCAGAAAAAAAAGGTAATGTCAGTATGAATAAAATAGTGAAAATAGAAAATAAAATGATTTCTCCTTTTTCAAAATATTTTTATTGAAAATAATGTAATAATTAAAAAAAAAGTTTTGATATACTGACCAATTTTATTTGTTAATAGATATCTATTCCAGCATTCTGGCCTGCACTAATTTTAATAGTCTCTGAGCAAGACACCTAATCTCTAATTGCTCCCCAGGCACTTACATACAGTAGTTGCCCTCTGCTCCACCTGGGTTTATCCCAGGTGTGATTGGTTAAATGTAGAGACCAATGTTGCCATTGTATGGGAACATACAATGATGACAACACATAACACTTTACAAATTTAAAACAGCTCTAAGTTTTGTTTTTTATGATTAAAAAATTTTGGGTGGGGGGTGGAGGGGCAGTTTTTGTACTAGTACTTTAGTTTTAGATTATTACTTTCTTTGTTCAAGTTCGAATTATCTTTGTCAAAGGCATCTCCATGCTGTCATAGAATACTATTTAGAACTTATAAGTTTTAGCGTTGTATTTTTTTTGTTGTATTCTGTAAAGCATATTGTTTATCAAAACACTGAATATTTTGTCCAATAGTGCATCATACTATTGGTGGATGATTGATCCCCGATGGTCCTAAGATAATGTGGACAAGCTGTGTCGACAAAACTGATGTATATTCTTTCATGAACACTTAAGTTCATACTGTTTTATGGTAGTATTAAATTTGAGGTACATATGTGCAAAATCGTCCTAGTCTGCATAGGATAATAGTTTTAAAATTTGTCAGTGAATATCTTACACATCCATTTACAAACTAAAA